GTTAGCAAAAACTGCATGTACGGGATTGATTTAATTGGACAAGATTTATTTGTAGCTGTTACGGATAAGATAACTAACTACTAGGCTCTTACTTACTTTCTGGTGTCCTATTCAATATGTCCAATCCCCTACATTTTAATCCCTTTTCATGTTTTTTGGCATACATTACTGATGTGACTGCTATGACAACAGCAAGAACTGCACCACCAATAATGATAACTTGAGATATAGTTGATCTACAAAAAAAGAAAGAATCAATATTACTGATAATAAAAAGCACATAATAAGAAGGAAGAGATGCTACTATCAGGATTCAAACTCCAGTCTTGTGTTTGGCAGCTTGGCAAATGTACTAGTTGACAAGGTCTGAACCAGCTAGGTTCAAGATATATTATAGGTAAAAATGATACACTAATACCCACCAATCCCACTGACATTTGTTCAAACGTTCAAGTAATAAATGTTTTTCCAGCCTTGAAATCTTCCATCTTCATTTAATTTTGTTCTGGTCTGGTTTGGATTGGTTTGGACTTTGAATTGGTCAGAATTAATATTATAAAGTAAGACTTGGGCAGAATAAAGATGGATTCACATATCGCAAGAATCAAAATGCATTCATTATGAAACCAGTTGTTGCAATACAGACATATCTCATGTATTAAGAATGGGCACAAATAAAATTTAAACTACTTTTGTTGGTGAGACAAGCATGTACATGCACCATTAGCCTGAAAGGTCCAGTCCACGAAGAATGCTTTGAATGCTACCGCATAGTGATTGAACACATTTAATACAAATAGTTTTCAATTACAAATCTGCTGCCATCAAGCTTAGAAAGATATGTAGCTGTGACTAATTAGTTTTATTAATAAATTGCATGATAATTATTTTTACCTAACAAAAATCATCAATCAAACAAACTTATTGAATAAAAAATATTTTGACATAATTAATTTACAAAAACTACCAGTTTATTTGACACCATGATCAAATACAGGGGTCAAAACTTTACACTTGTTTGATATTCTTTACTGGTTGTGGCTGTCGATAACCAATTCACTTTATTAAAGATGTGCATCCATCTGGTCATTTGGCATTTTAAGCAAACTGACAAAATTATGTGTAGTGTAGGAGGAGTAAAATGGATGAAGGACAACACAAAGTTCCAAGTCGTTTGCTCTGCAGCACAAGTAAAAGTTCCATGTCATTTGCCCTGCAACACAAGTAAAGGTTCCATGTCATCTGCCCTGCTGCACAAGTAAAAGATCCAAGTAATTTGCCCTGCAGCACAAGTGAAAGATCCAAGCCGTTTGCCCTGCAGATCAAGTAAACAATCCAAGTCATTTGCCCTGCAGATCAAGTAAACAATACAAATCATTTGCCTTGCAGGATAAGTAAAGATACAAGTCATTTGCCATGTAACACAGGTTAAAGATACAAGTCATTTTTCCTACAGCACAAGTAAGAGATCCAAGTCATTTGCCCTGCATGACAAGTAAGAGATCCAAGTCATTTGCCCTGCAGGACAAGAAGGCAACTGAACACATTTAATGCCCTAAAGCATAAGGATTTATGTGCAAGAATCTGATATAGCTTTGTATTTTAATAAAAGACTGTTTTATATCCATGTGAGTAGTATCTGTGATTATAACCTTCAGCTTATCAAGAAGAATCGTTTGGCACCTTTCATCAACTGCCTGGCCGACATGGGGCATGTGAAACTGAAGTCAATATCCTTTAATGCCTTTTTTAACTTAAAAGCATAGAGAGACCCATTTTGTACAATCTAGGATATGGGAGTACATCAATACTTCCTGAGTAATTTATGAATAATAATGAGTGTTTTTGCCACCATGAACATTTTACTGAGAATGTGATATAACAGTTCTATGTACATCACCACTATTGTGAGAAATAATTAGCAACAGTTCCATGTATGTTACAAGTATTGTGACATCACTAGCAATGGCTCCATTTGCATTCAATGATATTGTAACAAGCAACATTTACATCACCATTATTGTGTGATGTCATTGTTAGTAACAGTTCCATTGAAAACAGATTTATATCACCTTTACTGAGTGACATCATTAGCAACAGTTCCATTTCCAAACTCTGTGGAAAACACACACACACACACACACACACACTCCTGTCACTCCTGTACTTACCAACAAGAGTGACCTTTTCATCAATCCACACGCTATTTCACAAGAAGATTTCCATGTTGCGTATCACTGTACTAGTGATAGCAAAACTTGCCATATTTCCAGGACATAAAATATAGATTTCCAAGAAAGCTAAGAGTAAGAAATTTCCTGATTTCACTACACACTTTGTAAAACTGTACCCTGTAGGCATATACATATTGTACTAAACAGCATCATATCACTGCCTACCAAGACAAGGAAATCACAGTCATAAGGTTACATTATTTGTCTCCCTAAATAATATAACCCCTTGTCTGGGGTTTTCTTGACTCGGTCCAAACCCCAACATAGATTCTATTAATATCATGCAAAAGGGTTCTGGCTAAGAAGATTGCAGTTATGTTCATTGTATAGTGGTAATATTGAAGGGTTAGTGCCCTCCAGATAAAGAAATACAGCAAATCAAATTTACCCTGTATCTTCAGTGCTTTTATCTGTTTTATTCCTATATTCTGTATTTCTAGTTTTTCCAGCCAATAGAGTCGTTCCTGAAAAAAAGTGGTAAAATAAATAACAGTTCTTCCTAATGGCTATAATATACACAAAATATAATGACCTTTTTTTCTTTACAAAACTAATCAAATCTCTAAAACTTGAAGACATTAAAAAGACTGAAGAAAAAAGAAAGATGGAACACATTACACTGTATGTTCAAGGTATTAAATGGGGGACAGTTATTTAACATCACATTATCAGGTACACACTATGGGAAGTAACCATGGCAGAACTCAACCAGCAATCTACTGCTTGTAATTTTTTGTTTGTTCATTTATATGATCTATTTGATTAAAGTTTGTCCTAATACATATCTGCCTCAAGATTCAAGATGGTGGCCTTGGCAGCCATACTGAACATTGGTTAGGACCAAGTAGATCTCTTAAAAAGTCTATTATTTGCAACACACCACCTATAAATGATACTATAAACTGTCTATTACAACACTCAAATGATGCCCAAACACCAGACTGATAATAGCTTAGTGGCATATCAACACATAATGGTTATGTCATTCCAAGATGATTGGAGTAAAAAGGCCTGCCCAGAGACACATAAAGTGACCAACATGGACTGGTCTGGGCAGGATAATGACAGTCAAAAAAGACTGCATCAAAGTAACAAAAGTGCCACAAATAACCAATGATACATCTATGTGACCTTTCCCTACTAATGACCTTGACCTTTGAATTGGGACTTGACTACTGTATGATAAGGTGTGGACCTAGATAATGTTTCATCAAAATACCTGTAGGATAGGGTTAGAAAGTAGAAATTGATCTTGCGGCAGGGGTATAATTGTAGATATGTGAGATTGGCTGTAAGATCATTTTTCATTAAGACAAACTATACAGCATTGGAAGAATTTTGGTTAAAACCCCAAGTTGGTATAACCCTCATTCAGAAAAACTACTGACAAGATTTTCAATATGTTCATTGTAGCAGCCATATTTTTGGTCAGATAAGCATCATATTCATTCAAAACTAACTACTATAGATAGATATCATAACTAGATAGATATCATAACTAGATAAATATCATAACTAGATAGATATTATAACTAGATAAATATCATAACTAGACAGATATTATAACTCGATAGATATCATAACTAGATAGATATCATAACTAGATAAATATCATAACTAGATAGATATCATAACTAGATAGATATTATAACTAGATAGATATCATAACTAGATAGATATTATAACTAGATAGATATCATAACTAGATAGATATCATAACTAGATAGATATTATAACTAGATAGATATCATAACTAGATAGATATTATAACTAGATAGATATTATAACTAGATAGATATTATAACTAGATAGATATCATAACTAGATAGATATTATAACTAGATAGATATCATAACTAGATAGATATTATAACTAGATAGATATCATAACTAGATAAATATCATAACTAGATAGATAACATAACTAGATAGATATTAAAACTAGATAGATATCATAACTAGATAAATATCATAACTAGATAGATATCATAACTATATAGATATCATAAACTAGATAGATATTATAACTATATAGATATCATAACTATATAGATATCATAACTATATAGATATCATAACTAGATAGATATCATAACTATATAGATATCATAACTATATAGATATCATAACTAGATAGATATCATAACTATATTGATATTATAACTAGATAGATATCATAACTATATAGATATCATGACTAGATAGATATTATAACTATATTGATATTATAACTAGATATATATCATAACTAGATAGATATCATAACTAGTCTTCTGGTGAAAAACCCAAGGCATAATGACTTTGCATTTAGGAGAAGTAGCAATAATAAGATTTTTGATATAGATGCCATGGTGGCCATATTGGATGTCAAATTGGTACCATTTTCAACTACTAACAACTAGCCAGCTTAATACTCTTTCTGGTGAGAAGTTCCCCATTCTGATACTACTGGTACTTTCCATTCAAAGGTAATGTGTGTGTGTGTGTGTGTGTGTGTGTGTGTGTGTGTGTGTGTGTGTGTGTGTGTGTGTGTGTGTGATATGCATTATTAACAGAACTTTAACAATATTCAGTCTTAATGCTATCATGTCTGCGGTGTAGCTGCTTGCAGTGATGTCTAGCATTTGGACATCATGCAGCAGACATATAGCATGATGTCCCATCCAGACACATTATCCTGACACCAGGCAGACAAGTCCTAACACTAATGTCTTTTTGCTGAGCACCTAATGAGGCAGCTGCTAGTACCACTTTTATGTCTTTGGTATGACTTGGCTGGGATTTGAACCCAAGACCTCTGGCATCTGAGGCAGACACTCTAACCACTTAGGTACCTGAGTGGATCCAAGAGTAGCAGTAACAAGATTTTAAAGATTATTTAGGACCAAGCAGATATCACAAAAAGACTCTTAGAAGCCTCATGTTGATTATTATGAACACACATGCTGAAGGAGTTTAATAACAAGATGGCCACTGTGGCAGCCATACTGGATGTCCAAGCTGAATCATTTGCAAGTAGATCCAATTAGATATCATAATAAGACTTCTAGTGAAAAAACCATGCTGATATAGCTTTCTATTCAGAAGGAATATCAACAACACAATTTTCAAGATGGCTGTCATGGTAGCTCAATATGGATCAACACTATTTTCATGCATGACCAACTAGACATCATAAAAAGTCTTTAAGTGAAAAGCCCATGCCAATATGACCAACCTTTCTTAAATAGAGTTTCAAAATATTTGCTAGGGTGGTCATATTGGATGTCTGAGCAGCACCATTTTTGTTTATGACGAACAAGACCTTGGGAGGAAGGTGTGAAAAAAGTTTATAACAATCGCCAGAGTGTTTAAGAAGAGATGCAATAACAAAATTGTGCCAACAGACAGATGAATGTTAGATGATGGTTGATGGACAAACCCATAAGCTCTTACAGTCTATGACCAGTAGAGCTAACAAAGGATAAAAAATAACACAATCACATCATGTTTATTTATTTTAAAAGAACAGATCATTCCAAAGCAACCGTTTTACTCCTGTCTTCTTTCATTATAAATCTTGATGTATCTGCTTCTCATTATGTGCTTAAAGAGCTGAGGACATAAAGAGCTGAGGACATAAAGAGCTGAGGACATAAAGATTATTATGCACATAAGACACCTAACTTCAAATATGGACAAAATTGAGAATATAGTAAAGGCAAATTATATTTTTTCTTGAGTTGATTCTAAGTATATTCTGTCTTGTGGTAACACCCAACACAATGAAAAATTAATTTTATGTGACATAATAGTTTCTTTATTACCACACATTGTAAAACATAACATATCTATCTAGGTTTTCGGCTGGTGCTTTATGGCAAAGTAATGCAAACAGGTTATATAGTGCTGAGGTAATTGGAGCAAAACCCTTGCCCAAGGAAACACCAAGGTAACTGACCCAGGTTGGTCCAATGGCTGGATTTGAACCTGAATTCTTTTAGTCTCAAGTCCAACACACCAGCCACTAATTCAATGCAGTTCTCAGAAAAAGAAAATATTCTCAATCTATTTGTTTATAAGTCAAATTTGCCACTGAAAATGTAAACTTACCAGGTATATTTGTCTGTATTGCTGTGGTATAAGTTTTCATCAAAACTGAGCTGAATAATGTAGATTTACTGAAATACAAGTTAAATGGAAATTAATTACTGATTACAAATTTTCAAAACAACCTCCATATGAAGAATTCACTTTAGGATGTTCATCCTCCTATGGTCTTTTATTTTTAACAAATTGTATCACCTTTTCTCCAATTTATTTATTATCTTAATTAAAACTCATCTGAATAAAGCTTGGATATAAAATGTATTCTTCCAAGTCTAAATAATGTTTTTCTAATATTTGCTTTAAAAATTGTGAGGAATATTGATAAGTCATTGATTACAAATTGTGATGAATATCATTCTTTATTTATAAATCATTAAATTGTAATGAATATTGATCATTAATTGCAAACTGTAATTCATTAATTATGAACTGTGATGAATATCCTTCAAATATTGCCATATAATTCTTAATCTGATTATTGGTGACTGCTAATCAGTCCTATACTAATCCTCATATGTCAACAACTCATTATTTCATTAATCAATCACAGTCCATACTACAAGCCACACAGGGTAAATCCTTAGAGAAACAAGACTTGTGAATGCTTAGTTTTTATTAACATACACACTTAGAGTACTGGCATCTTCCATCTTTCACTTAATATCTATAATACAGTATTATGATTCCTCATTAAAGTCTTGAAAAAATGCATGGCATTCACGGCACAGCCATTTGACATTTCTTGATCAATAATTAGACCCCTAGAGCTAACAATCAAATCTGTTCTTGTGTACTCCTTTGGCATGCTGGATAACAGCAAAACAAAAATCCCATAGGGATAATTGACAAATCCTTGATAATTTAGAGACAATATTAATAGTTTCTAAATAATGGTAATGATAATGGGAACCATTCTGAATAAATTCATATACAAGTAAAATTTAAAATATGGATAAGTTTGTGGTCACCAGTAGCCAACTATTTGGAGAGTTGATGAGTAGCAATTAAGCTACAAAAAAAAATTGGTCATTATCTTTTATTTTCAGATCTTAAATAGATTAAACAGGTGTGGCAAACTTGGTGATGCTTTCCATTTATGATGGTGAGTTTCAAAAACATAAGGTGTACATTAATTCAAATTTTAGTGTTATCTCCATCTGAGGTTTTTGGGTTTACATGCATCTTATTCTACTGCATACAGTGATTATACTAACAATGTTGTACAATATGTGGCTTAGTAAGGGAAATAACTCTTGTGAAGAAAATTCTTATGAAAAATAAACCAATTTAATCAAATGGCAAGAAATTTATTTAGGGGTTGTTAAGATTATAGTATTAAAAAGCAACTCTTTGTAAGCTGCAGATATCTATTTAAAGATTAGCTTAAAAAGATCCTAAAATATGTTTGTGCATCTGTATGTGTGTGAGATTCACCCTTTTATGATGCCAATTCTGGTGAAGAAATTTAAAAAACCCAGATTTTCCACCAGGTTCCTAAGGAAACACCACTATTTTGATAAAGCATTTAAATACTAATATTCCTAACAACTTTGACTGAAATGGTCTTTGCCATTCAAGAAAAATATGATTGATACGGAAGACACATAATTCCCATGGGTACCAACCTGACAACATGTTGTTAAAGCATTTCTTAAGAATGAGTCTGATTAAAAAAGCAAGGCATTTTAATCAGTCTGATCAAAACTGGCTGAACGGTTCTGGAGAAGTCAATATTGGCTTTTCATCTGGTTACTAAGGGAAATTAACCACCAGTAGGGACTCACACTGAACACAGTTTTTCCATCTGGTTACACAGTGAAATAGATCACTGCTAGAGACTCACACTGGTTACTATGGGAAATACATAAGTACATGGAGAGTCTCACTAAACACAATTACAAGATGATACATGTGCAATATTTTCTTAAGTTAATTGACTTGACTGGATATAGCATGGTATGATATATAGCATGATGGCACTTTGTGGACCCCATCCATTTTTGTTATAGTGGTGTTTCACCTAATATCTTTACAGAAAGCTTCCTATAAAGCTCCCTGGTGCTACCCTGGTGCTAGAACATTACCTAGTAATAAATTTCATAGCATAAAATGTCAAATATGTTTCATAACATAAAATGTCAAATATGGACAAGTCTTTAACAAGCAAACTTTCCATGCAGTTAATATAGACCACTACCTTTTGAAAATATGCTTTTCACTACATTTTATACTTGTCAATCCAATTTTTTTTTAATTTAGCAATATAGTTAAGTTTTGAAACTGAGTTACCTCCCTTCAATTATACTCTTTCATTTTTATATAGCCAAAGTCTCAACTGACACTAAGAGATCTATGCCAAGCAAGAGTCAGGTATTGGTCTATGAAAAAACAATCTTAAAATATCAAAAGGAGATTGTCAAAATATGGCTATTCACTGACTGGTTGCCAGACTTAGCCAAAATACACTGATTGGGTTTCAGACTTAGTCAAACTATGGCAGGTCACTTGCTGGTTGCCTAACTTTTTTCAGAATATGGCAAGTCACTCTTGTTGGCAGACTACTTTCTTTATAGCATTCATCAAGGCCAAGTTCACATCAATCAAATGTACAGTAGTGATCATGCACATGCAAGTCTGATATCAGCAAGGCAGCTTACACACATGCTGCTGGCACAAGAATACCTACTGTCAGAGTGAGACCCAATAAATATTTCATTCACATTCAGATCACTTGGATTCAGTATAAACAATAACCATTATTTATTGCTCAATTTTAATTTGGTATAGAGAACCTGAAAAGGTAAAATAGAATTTTGTTTTGGCACCAAAATGTTGTAAACCATTCAGTTTTGATACAAACAGACAAGTAACACCTATATACAACAATCATGTACCAGACTGTCTCTATATGTAAATCTCTTGGGAGTCTTGGAAGAGTCTCAATGAAGAGATTATTGTCTATTGCTTACTTGAAGTATATTGGTAGATTGTCAATTTCAAATTATATTAATCCTCTTATGATATACATACAATCTATGATCAAGATTTCAAAAAGGTTCTTATTTTAATTTTTGTGTGAAAAAAAAACAGAAAAAAAACAATGAATAAATTATGATGAGCTGGAGAATATCATCAAATGTGTTGGTGTAGAAATTGCACTTGTCATTAAAGATTGGAGTTTGTTTAAAAGCACTGGTACCAACTGGCCAATCAAACCGTAGAAGTTATATCAATGCAGTTGTATATAGCAACTACAATATTAACTCTCGTCTCATTCAGCAATGATTATTCCAGATCAGTGGCCACAAACATGATGTGGTTTAAAGATATCGGGTTTGGGACAGCTGTTTCTGGCAAGCTGAAAACTGAAGGTGCAATTGAAGCTGCTGCTGGAAATGGACTTTTTTTTAGCTCCTGGTGGAGCTGATGTGGCTGCACAAATACTGTTGCAGCACTAACCACAAATGTAGCAGTGGTACTATAGTAGCAGCTGCAATTAGAAACGCATTTGGAAATGCGTGCCAATTAAATTATAACGAAGGATTTGCCAAATGAAAAGCTTTTGCTGCAGAATCTCGCCAAATAACAATAATGCTTCCATGAAGTACAATCTTTGGATTTTGCCACGAACATAACAAAGTTATGCATGGAATAAAACACACATTTATTTCAAATCAAGCAGATCAAAATGATTGTATAATACACACCTGTATTTTGCCTATTTGTTTCTTTCTTGCTCAAAGTGTTAAATT